ATTTTCTTAATAACATTGTGTTGCAGATTTTGCTATTATTTCCAAATATCAAAAATACTTTTTTAAGGTTTTGATAAATATAGAAGCACCTGTATATACAAGCATCTTAGTGCCGTTCTATAAAGTTTGGGGGATTTTCTGGCATTTTTTCTCTTTTCTGTAGGTTCACATGAAGGATGTCATGTCAGCAGTGTGGGTTTCGGGCTTAGATGCAGCATATTTACGTGAGCAGATGATGAGCGAACCGCTGGTACGGGAGATCGTCAAAGAATGCAACAACATCCCCCTCACGCCGCCGCAGCAGGGAGAGGCGATGCTGGCCTCCTTCAAGCCCCGGGGTTACTCGGAGTGTATAGTCACTGTTGGTGGAGAAGAACGAGTGTAAGTAAGAAGTGGCATTGCAGGTCGTCACAGATAGGAAAACACAAGCGTTTAGCGTTCGTGGCATGTCTGAAAACACAGTGTAGAGAGAATTTGTGCACCTAATGTGCTTATTATTATTATTATTATTATTATTCTACCATTTGAGTTTGTTTTTAAGTTGGTCCGACACACCTAAAATACCTTTGTGAATGATTCAGCAATAAATAGTTATTTTGTGGTAGCTTTCTGACATTCAACATGTAGTACACTTAGAGTAGGATGTGTTGTTTGTTCAGTGAGTGTTGATTGTGTTTTGTTTGGGGTTTTTTTTTTTTTTTAACTGAATAGACTTTACTCAAAATAAGCTCAGAACATTGGAGAAACACTTTTCTAATGATCTGAAAAGCATCTATACTAAATCTTAAAAATAATGAATGAATGTGTGCTTTAACTGCCTGTAAGAAAGATGGGGCCAGACTTTTTAGCAGGGTGTGTGGTGATAGGAGCAGGGGCAATGGTTTTAACCTAAAAGAGGGTAAATTTAGACTAGATGTAAGGAAGGATTTTTTTACGATGAGAGCGATGAAACACTGGAATAGATGGTAGATGCCCCATCCCTGGAAACATTCAAGGTTGGGTTGGACAGGGCTCTTGGCAATTTCATCTGTTTGAAGATGTCCCTGTTCACAGCAGGGAGGTTGGACTAGGTGACCTTTAAAGATCCCTTCCAACCTAAGCTATTCTGTGATAATAGCTGTGGTTCCCAAAAAAAGTCATTATTGGTGCATCTGAAAATTGTGCCAGGTGAAAATTCCTGTTCCACACAATAATCCCTTTCTTTTCTTGACCACACCCTGCAGTAGAGGGGAGGGTTTTGCCTGATTTAAATAAGTTTAGCACTTAGATGTTAGCTCTTTCTAGAAGTGTAATAAAATACTCAAATAATACTTTGCACATCAGTTTGTGGATTGCTTTACTCAGGCATTACTAATACTCCCTATCAGTTCTTTTTAGTTTGTTCAAAGTTCCTTCATAAAAAAACGTAACGGGCAGATACAGTTGTGAATGAAATGCATCTGCTTTTTATGTCTCCAGTCTGTACAAAGATAAATTTACAAATAGTTGGTTTGGGGGTCTTCTCCTTACCAGGGAAATGCCACACTTCATGAATATCTAGTAAATCTTGAACAAGCAAGTTTTGGACACAAGTTGTTAACAGTGAACTTGTAAAACTCTGTCTTGTCTTTCTGTTTTTGTTTGTTCCCTCCCCACGTTGTGTTCAGATCGCGGAAACCAACCTCAGTGATGCGGTGTATGTGTCCTCTTTATGATCCTAATAGACAGCTCTGGATTGAACTTGCTCCTATGAGTATTCCAAGGATCAATCATGGAGTATTGTCAGCAGGTAAAGGGGAACTTTGTATTTGTAAAGTCAATATTATGAAAATTTACCAGTGCCTCAAAATCTGAGATACAGTTTATAATAATATTTTTTTTCTTAAAGATTGACTGCACTGGGGTTATTTCATGCTTCCCCTTTGTCTGCCCAAAATATTACTTTATTCTGTGAAAATCCCTGTCATCTGAGTGTCTTAAAGTCACTATTCCTGCAACATTTTGTGGGAATCTGCTGCATCGGTCACTCCAGGAGTATTTCATGTCTTAAATAAATTCCTAGCTGCTGCATCACTGAATATGTTGAAGAGTACCTGCAGGAGTAGACTTGAGTCCAGGTATAAAATACGTGCTTTATCTTCTGCAGTCCAGAGTTTGACCTGTGACTGGTCTTAATCTCTTAACAGATTCTAGGATATAGCTCACCAGTCACGTTGTCTTGCTCAGTGTACAGATGTGAATCCTGTTTTTAAGATCACATCACGTTTTGTTTTACAGAAGGATTTTTATTTGTGCTTGGTGGTCAGGATGAAAACAAGGGAACGTTAAGCTCTGGAGAGAAATACGATCCAGATACCAATTCATGGAGTTCCTTACCACCAATGAATGAGGCAAGATCACTCTCTAACTGTTGGGATTTGATATATTTTATTTATTTTTTTTTTTTACTTTGGCCAAATGTTCCTTTTGTTCTGCAAAATTTCATTCTGAATCTCCAGTCACTTGCATCTCACACATTCAAAACCGTGCTGCAGACTGCCTTCTGTTTATATCCTCTTGTTGTACTTGTGGTCTGATAGTGACTTCTGGATCTGGAAAAGCTAAACTATTGGTGAAGAGGTAGCTGTAAAGCCGAACTACCAAATTTCAGCAATTCCACATGGAATCAGTCGTATAATATACTTAATATTCTGCTTATATGTGCCTTCTAAAAATAGGCATACATTTCCTTTGCGTTGTACACAAGAAAACTTACATGGACAAAGGGGTTGGACTGTGCAGAAAAGATAGAGACTGGACAACATACAGAGCTTGGCTTGCAGAGACATATTTATATTTGTTTGGTTTGAGTTAATGTTTCCTTCTTCATATTTACATTCCATCAGAAAGTATCAGTTTATTATTTGTAAACATATATCCTTAATACACCTGTGTTTTTATCTTCTTAAATCAGCATAGGGTGTTTATTAAGAAATTATTGTTTGCCACAGGATTAAAGTCTCTGGTTGGCAAAGGCCTGTAGTTTTGGCTGTGTTTGTAGTTACAGTGCATGAAGTTTCCTGCTTACTGTGAGTGAGACTGAGGGCAACTGTGCTACCAAAGCACAAAATAGAAGAGCTGCCTTCTCATGGGTAATGGGTCCAAGTTTTGCTACTGTAGAGACCTGAAAGCAACAGCTTCATCGTGGAGACCACCACTGTGCAAACTGAAACACAGCCAGGCTCTCCTCTTTGATTTCTCTGGGCTCTCTTTAGCTTTTGCTGCTCTCTCTTTTTTTGAATATCCTTTGTTTTGTTTCTTGAAGAAATTAATATTCTTATTCTGGAGTTTTAATCCTTCACCATTTAAAACAAAAGAAAAACCAGACCTGATGCCAGTATCACTTTGCAGACAGATATGCTGAAAACCGGATTGTATTGATTTATTCACAGTGGCAGTTAGGTTTTACAATGATGACTTCATTAATATTCCTTAGGCACGACATAATTTTGGTGTGGTGGAGATTGATGGAATTCTGTACATTCTGGGAGGTGAGGATGGTGAAAGGGAGCTAATCTCTATGGAGAGCTACGATATTTATAGTCGGACCTGGACCAAGCAGCCAGACTTGACCATGGTTAGAAAGGTAAGAGCTACATTGTATGTTATTGCTTTACTTATTATTAAATAATGCCAACTTATGTGTGTGTGTGTATATATATATATAAGTTTTTCAACCTTTTGCTTCAAGTTGAAGTTGTAACAAATAGTCTCAGTATGAAATGAGGGAGAGCAACTTCTTTATATAGCACAACAGAACTGTGGCTGAGAATTTTTATACATGGTATTATTTGATGTGCGATACAGGCAACTCAAATACGTACCTGTGTGTATATAGTTAGTTTTGAGCTCTTGATACTGTGCATTTGTGTGTAATTTTAGATGTACTTTTTCTATTTTCCACAAGATTGGCTGCTATGCAGCTATGAAGAAGAAAATCTATGCAATGGGTGGAGGCTCCTATGGAAAACTCTTTGAATCTGTTGAGTGTTATGACCCTAGGACTCAGCAGTGGACAGCAATCTGTCCTCTGAAAGAGCGACGGTGAGTGAAAGTGGAAGGGGGAAACTAGATTGCTGCCTACAACCTTCTTTTTAACATGCTCATGAAAGGAAGTTGTCCTTTTTCTGATGAGTCCCTGAAGGTGACTTTCAGAGGCCCTGTGAATTTCACCGTGTCTTTCTGAATCGGTGGCCTGTAGTTAACATGTGGCTGAGTAAAGATAAATATCCAAGCAATAAATAGGAATTTTATAGAAATACACCCAATATGTATTTCTGAAGCTCCTGAAGCAATACTTCCCTGATGCAAAATGAAAACTAGAAACTGTAGTCCAGTTGGAACCTCGGAATTTTTTTCGGTGATAAATACTTTGCCGTTTTGTTCTTTTACATGGTCTGAATTAGGTGCTTACAATTCATATTCATGACTCATCTTGTTGAATATATGGGTGGGGGTGTATATAAATAAAGTAAATGTTAAAAATGGGGAAAATTCAGAAGGATATGTGAAATGGTTTTGATATATTGCCTTTTTTTTTTTTTCTTATTTGGATTCTCAGATTTGGAGCAGTGGCCTGTGGAGTTGCCTCTGAGCTTTATGTATTTGGTGGGGTCAGAAGTCGTGATGACAGTCAAGCCAGCGAGATGGTGACGTGCAAGTCTGAATTTTATCATGACGAGTTTAAAAGGTAACTAGCTGCAGCTATAAACATAGGAAATATGTGCATTACACTCTTGCTTGTCTGTTTCCCCCTCTCCTTGCTCCAGCACTTCAAAGCATGTTAGATCTGTGCCATGCATCTCTGTCACTCATTTCACCTTTTATGATCCAGTATGGCTGTTACCAAAGGTCCATCTGCTTCAGTGGCTTGTCCCTCCGAGATACCAAACCTAAAGTCCTGGGCCACCGTGTCAGTCCTGAGTGCCCCTGAGCAGGAGGAACCCCTTGATCGTACAGGCAGTTTGCCTGGTTCTTCCCCTGCACCCTGCAGTTTCCCCAGCTGTGGGGTGCTGCTGCCCCCCACCTGTAGGCGTGCCCTGGGCTCCTGTGAGTGCACGTGGAGGAGTGTAAGTATTGTAGAATCATAGAATGGTTTGGATTGGAAGGGACCTTAAAGCTCATCCAGTTCCAACCCCCCTGCCAGCAGCAGGGACACCTTCCACTAGACCAGGTTGCTCAAAGCCTCATCCAGCCTGGCCTTAAACACTTCCCAGGGAGGGGGCATCCACAACTTCCTTGGGCAACCTGTTCCAGTGTCTGACCACCCTCACAGTGAAGAATTTCTTCCTAATATCTAATCTAAACCTCCCCTCTTTCAGTTTAAACCCATTTCCCCTTGTTTTGTCATTAACTGCCCTTATGAAAAGTCCTTCCCCAGCTTTCTTGTGCAGAAAAGTCAGCTTTTCTTCCTAAGTGTAAACAGGGGTAACTCTCCATGGTCCAGCCCTACCTCCAGGGATTTGCAGTTTAGGGAATTCCTGAGCTAGAGATAAGAAATTTCATGCATTTTTGTTCCAGGCATTTATAGCTGATTGCTTTCTGAACCCACGTAGGCTTTTGCCATAGGAAGGACACTATGGATGCTATACATTCCCCAGCCACCTCAACACACTGTGCATGGCTAATCTCTTTTTGTTTGTTTTGAATCTGCTTCTGATGACTTCATTTGTTATCTCTTGGCTGTGGTATTGGAATTCACCTCACTACATGTGGTAACTATTCAAAATGTTACATTAGACAGAATTTTGTGTATAATCTCCTTATTTTCCAGTCATAACTGACAAGCTTTGGTTCCTCCAGTGTTGTTTTATTTTTTTCTTGCATATATCTGTGAATTGTATTATTCTCTTTTATATATATAAACTAAATTGAACCAAGACTTGGTGGTCAGGTGTTTCAAGGCTTGTTGACAGTGCAGGTGATTAAGTCTGTATTACAACATCAAGACTGATTTATGGCTGTGACCTGTATTGAAAGCCCACAAAAACAGAATAGTAGATGTAAGTTCACTATACAATTTTCTTGCAAGATGTGGATGTAAAGGGATTTTAATTTCTGTATGAAGAGGTCTTCTACGTTGTTCAAAGTCATGTCTAAACTAGCTATAATCAACTGAAGCTGGAGAAGGAACATTCTCTGAAGTGGTTATAGGAAGCAGACAGATAAGAAAGGCTATTGCTGCTGATGCTCTCTAGTGTTTTCTGGCCCTATGGGGGTGTGGGGAAATACTAAAAGCCAATTAACTTTTTGACAAAACATCTTTGAAAGGGAAACAAATTCTGGAAAAAAAAGTGCTCCCTTATTTCCTACTTGCTATTTTTAGTTGATTTGCCTGAAATATGCCCAGGCTGATTCTGTTCTTCAAAAGGTGGCATACAATAGCTGATGGTTCCTCGCCAGTGATTGTCAACCCATTTCACTGGTTGATACAGACTGAGATTTCACAAACTGGAGTTTGAAAAAGCTGGGAGGTTCCAGCCCGAGTGCTGCAGGTGAGTCCTTGGTGCCACCTGCTGACTGCAGCACAGCCGCCTGCCCAGCAGTATTTCTAACGTACGAGTTTGTGTCTTTGCTTGGTGGCATCCCAGAGGTGTTACAGGGTTCAAGTAAAGTTATAATAAAAATCCATCTGCTTCAGGTCTTGTCCTGGCACCCCGGGTGTTGTGTGTGTGGCCTGAGGGCTGTGCTGGCACAGAGGAAGGTGAAGCAGCAGCAAGTAGTGCGAGTCTGGAGTCGCTGGAGGAGACATGGTGAGGGCAGCCGAGATGTTCAGACTTTGCCTTTCTGCTCTGCCACTGCACTGGATTCAAGTTCAGAGATATAACTCTGCATAAATTTGTGCTTGCACTGCGGGTGGTTCACAGGTGCTGTGGTTTCCTTTGGGATCCGGGGCCAGTGAGGACTGGGACAGTGGCCACTGGTGCCTCTGCAGCAGGTGCTGCTGGCTGGGGTTTGTGCTCCCTGGCTCCAGCCCCAGGAGGCAGAAGGGGTGTTACTGGCCAGGAGAGGGTGCAGCGTTCCTGTGCCATGTTCTGCTAGTGTTCCTGCTCCTGGGGTCTAACAGTGACCCCAATGCCAGCACCCTGGGAGCGCTGCGCAGGGCAATGCCCTTCAGGGTGGCGGTGGCAGCAACTGGGAGACCTGAGCAGTTGTACCTGCATGGAAAAGAGAGAAAATAGCCATAAAGGGACTTCCCTTCAAAATACATTTAGCAAATCTTTCTACCTGCCAAATACTGAGACAAAATACTTTGTTGTCCGATACCCTTCTTTGAAGTAAGATTGAATCTGGAAAATTATCATAATTTCATTATAATAATGTTTCACAAATATCAAGTAAATACCAAGTGAAAGCAAGTTGACTGTCTGGAAAACATGAGGGCATTATTTCCTGGGCTGATTCAGAGAGAGCAGAAAACAAATCTAAATCACTTTGAGTGAAAGATGAAAGCTTAAATAATGCGCTTCTCTTAAGTCTGTGAAAACCTGATGCTAAATACTGATGTGTGCATTTGATTAGTTAAGCAATTCCACTTGCATTGGGTATCATATGCACATGCTCTGCTGTGCATCATCGCTCAGGAGTAAAGCATCAGTGATGCTGTAGATTTTACCAGTGGTGGACAGTATCTCTCTCTCAGTTCCTTAGTGCCTAGTCAATGTGATATGTGCAAAGACTGATTCTTCATCTTAAACATTATGGAGTTGCTACAGGGTGATTAATTTATAACTGATAAGTGCTTTTATTTCCTCAGCAGTAGTTTCTGAAACAAATAAAGGTAATTATTGCCCTTCAAACCAGCAGCTTCAAAAAGTCATCATGAAGGATAGAAGCACCTTCAGACTCCACAGCATGTGTTCTTTTTGTAGTGACAGTGGAGGAATAATACTGGAACTGTCTAAGCTGAAATATCACATTGACTGTGTGTGTGTGTTATTGACAGAAGACCAAAAGGGTTGGATTAAGAGAGATTTGTGGAAAGGAGGAATATATTTGCAAGATCATTTAGCAGCAGTGGGTCAAAAGCACAGCATATAAATTCTAGCTCGTTCTAACTGAGACTAAATTCTAGTCTCAACCCAAAATTCAGAGTGTTTTTTTAATCATTACATGTTGGTATTGCATACTTCATAATGAGCTACAGACTTTTCCAGCTGTTTTTAAGTAAGTGTGGAACTCCATCATACTTATTTTCTCTTTGAATGGAAAGAATTTTTTATCCTGTGAGTTCAGCCATCAGACAGTGTTGATTTACAGTGATGTGCAGCAGTGCACATGTGTGTGATCTGCATCATTTTTCGTATGTGCATCAGCTCTCATTACCTGAGAATACAGAATCCAGCATCATCCCGGGAATCCGGAGTCCATGAGGATCTGAGTTATGGGCTTTACTTGGTGTATATGTCTAAGTATGTACTTACATCAGTATATAAACATACTAATTCATATAAACCAACATAGTTCTGGCTTGAATTGTATTAAAAGACAGAAGTTTAACTTGTTTAATGTTGCTTACTTTGACAGTAACTTACTCCAGAATAACTCACAGAGCACAGTCTTTCAAAATTGTTATTCTTAACCATGACACAGACTTTTCTAAAGGCTGGGGATGTGCTGAGATCTTCACACTAGCGAAAAAATAAACACTGAGACTCCTGTTAAGCTGTACTGTATAAACAAGTAATAAAATAAATGAAGTGAGACAGAATAGTAGTGTACACATGAAATGTGGACAGGATAATGTAGAAAATAATTCTCGTATTTGAAGTACTTCTGTAACTGAGATTTTTCAATTAATAAATGTTTTGTCAGCCTGTCTCTCGAGTCATGTGCATGAGTGAATTTAAGTGAACAGAGGATAGAAAATATGTGCATCAGACTGCAGGTTTTTTCAGGATGTAGGGTTGTTTTTTTTTCTCAAGGCTATAGATTGAGCTTTGTGTACATTATATCCTGTTTTTAAAAATATTGATCAAGCTAAAAATAGATTTAGACATAAAAGTGTGGGATGGAGATGTAAGGGTAACCTTCGCTTGATGATCCCGTGTTGGCCTACTCCATAAAAAGCAGGAAATTGTAACTACACAGTAAAGACCTTGATGGGTCAGTCTTTCCTGCTGGTGCAGTTGATAGTTTCTAATTTGCTGGTTTGCATCACGTAGCTGTGTGGAGAACTGGATGATCTCTGTACACGCTGTGTTTTGTTTTGTTTGTTTTTTTTCTTTTCAGTCTTTTCTTTTCAGCGTGGATATTTGGAATTTTTAATAGAGCACAAAGTAGCTTTAAGATTCTTTGCAAGAGCTGCTGGTGGAGCTCTGTCCTTGAGTATAGCTGCTGCTGCTGCCTTTCACTGGTGGTCTGTAAGTGGGGTAGGCTTTCTTCCTTCTTTGCATGAGCTCCTGGTGGAAAAGCATTATCAAAAATTGCAGGTGTTGAGGGGGATAAAAGTGAGAGATACTTGTTCAGAAGCAATACTTGGTAAAAACACCTTAAAGATATTTTTTTTGCTGCTGGAACATCTAAAAAATAAGGAAATGCTTCAGCAGTGTGTAAGTAGTAAATTAAATAATCCTGTGACATAGTATGTGTGATTAGGAAGATTCTCCCATGCAGTGTGCAGGAATTTCATTAAAAGAAGCTGCTTATGCAAATGTAATTAGAAAACTAACAGACTGAGTGATGGCACTGTCAGATGAGAGGAGCAGGGAGAAGGTTTTCATTCGTTTGTAGGTATCCTTTCGCAGCTGGTGTGAGCTCGAGGTGTCGTGTCTGGAATATGTTGGGTTTGTATCGCATCTCTATTCGCTTCCCACTTGGAAATAAAAGTTACTCTCCTGCTTATTAATTTCAGCCACATGGACGGATTTTTTTTGTTGTTGTTTATATCACTTTAAGACTGAAAAAAAAAAAAATCAGGATTCCTTCCCCTTTTTTTAATTTGAGTGGAAAGATATTTCAGTTTCAGAGCAATCCTTTCTGGCTGTGGGTACTGAGATACAGAGCAATCCTTTCTGGCTGTGGGTACTGAGGTACCTGCCTCCTCCCCTGCTGCTCTGGGGTTCAGTTTGAGTAGAGCCATCCCAGGGAAGTACGCAAGAGTTTTATGTTCCAAATTCCTGAAGACTGTGAGGTTTTTTGTCATGGTGTTTTTTCCACACTGTTCAAACAGCAGGCACAACCCACGTTAAGCTGGAGCTTAGTCAAATTCTGATGAAACGTGACCTCTTACCCTTCCTGTCTTTGTTCCTTCCTAGTTCTAAATGCTAAAGCTGCTGTAAGTGTTCCTGAAAAGTTGTGCCTGTTTTTTAAAGTATATGCACTGAGAAAGGTTGAGAAGGAATTTTCACAAGCAACTCCAGATACTTTAATATTCTCCTTTCTTGATGTGCAGTAGGAAAATACTTGGGTCCTGCCCTGTTGTGTGTCGTTTGTTTGTTGGGGTCGGGGAGGATGTTTGGTTTTGTGTTGTTTTGGTTTTTTTTTAATTTAAACCCCAAAACTTTATTTATCCAGTTCAGACAAACTCCTGAAATCACATGTTTTCCAAGCTCAGACTTGATCAGTAGCTAGACTAAACTCATCTCATTTTGTTTTTATCCCTTCTTCAGCATATTCCTATATTTACTATCTAAAAAAAAAAAAAAAAGAAAAAGAAATAGCAGTCATCCTCCTGCATTTTTCTGCCAGTTACTCAGTTTTCATAATTCTAGGTAACTTGGTGCTAAAAAGCAGCAAAAACACAGTGTCCTCTTCCCACAGTAAGGAGAGGAAGCTAATGCAATATGGTGAAAGGTGTTTTGCTCTGTAACAGAGTTCCCAAATCACTGTAGAGGACTTCTCCTTTTCTCTGTTCTCAGTTCATCTCTTGTCCTCTGTGACAGCTACAAACCATTCCCTTGCTTTCTGCAGAATCTTATCCTTTGGTGTATAGCACAGACAAGATAATGGACAGCTAATCTTTTCCTTTGGCCTTTAAAAATAGATCTCTCTCTTCAAGATAATTGATGTGTAGCAGCCTGTCCTTCAGGGCCAGAAGAGAGGCTTACTTCTCAATCATGAGTTAAGATAATGCAGAATTTTCAAAGGTCAGTAGTATCTGTGAGGATATTTCCTAACTTTTTCCCTCAAATTAACCAGGCACAGATGTGAAAATACATGGGATGCTTTTCAAAGGTTTTTCAAACTTTCCTGCTCTCTGTAAACTATTTATTAAAAGGTCTAGGAGCAGTCACCTAACATATAGCATTGATGTGTATGTCTTCAGGGTCTGTAAAGAGTAACTGAGAGCATCTGCAGGAGTGCAGCAGCGTTTTGTAGAAATTTGTTTCAGAACCATAGAGAGGATGCTGAGAACTCTAGATAAATGGGACATCAAGCATAGAGGGTTTGTAAGATTATAGTAGGAGCTAGAAAGTGATTGGAAAGAGCCTGACACGTTATCAGGAAGGTCTTTTCCAATTCCAGGTAACAGGCATTTTTTTTCTTCCCCAGATCCCTTACCATTTTGATTTCCAGTCTTATCCCTTCTTTAAGTATTGCCAAGTGCTGCATTCTTCTTACTGGACTTGGGACTTCTTGTCGCTGATAAAGTGCAATTAGAGAAGTTGGGGAATTATGTGGGGGAAGGCACTGCTTAATAACAAGGCCTTGCTGTATAGCAATTTGTTATTTCCACTAGTGTGGACTATTAAGACTTACATGTTTTTGTGAGTCTACTGGTTTTAAGACAAAGCTGCCTAAAATTTTCTCTATAGGGAAAATAGAGTGGCATAGCTGTTGTAGAAGAGACTCTCTTATATGCCTGCTCTATTCCAGAAGGTCACACTGGGTGGCTGCAAGAAGAATTTATTCCAGATAGATTACACAGATGAGTGGAGCAATTCTGAGATAAAGTAACTTAAGGATAAAGTATCCTGAGCTTCCCAAACAGCAGCACCAATTGCTTTTCCTGGACAGAAAAAGCCAAGACTGTCCTGAACTAGACACTGTTCCCAACAGTTTTTTGGAACTTGTACATTCTGCTTTTGATTCAAAGATGGCAGTTGCAAAAAGAACCTGGAATTTTTTTAATGTGCTCAATAAAAATTGTTTTGTTCTGTTTTTTTGTATTATTATTTTGCAGGTGGATTTATCTAAACGACCAGAACCTATGTATCCCAACTAGTTCTTCCTTCGTGTATGGAGCTGTACCCATTGGAGCGAGCATATATGTGATTGGAGATCTCGATACAGGTCAGAATTAGAGCCAATAACTTCTGCTGCTCATATTCTTCCAGTCTTTTAACTACCTGGCACTAATGAGACCAAATTTTTTTAGAATAAAAGGCTGGGACTATGTTCTGCTAAGTTACTGTTGTCTTCAGGGGAATTAGGCTGGACATACGGAAAAGTACAGGTTGGTTTTGTAAGTTGGAGCTCTTCAGAAACAAATTCAGTGCTATAAGCATTTGGTTGATTAGCAGTAAGCTCAGAAGAGAGCAATTCTAAGATGATGTTACTACATTTGACTAAATATAAGACAAAGTGTTAGTGCCTGAGGTTGTGTCTCCCATCTTTGCAGCGGTAAGCAGTGCTTCTGCATTTTAGGGACATCATCCAGTGGTTCATATGGATGTGATAGTGGTTCTTGGCTTTAAATCCCAACCGAATAAATGTGTGGTAACAAACAAACTCAATACGCAGCTTTCAGCATCTGGCCACGTACTGCAAAAGCATTTGGAAGACTACAGGACTCCATGCTTTTGTGGCCATATGTACATACATGAGTGTGTAACAGGGCTTTCTGCAAAACATGAAAGAGCAAAATCCCAGATGTGTTGGATTTCAGTAGATAAGAAATGCCACAGTAGTTTCCTTTTGACAATAATTTCCACCATAAATCCAGAAATTTATTTGTGTTTCTGTGCTTGCTCTTGCTCACCTATTTGCCTTATTAGAGGTGAAATGCAGTGACAGCTACGGTACATTTTAAGCATTTATCCTTTTTTTTTGTGTGCGTGTGTGAATTCAGGTACAAATTATGACTATGTTAGAGAATTTAAAAGGAGCACGGGGACCTGGCAGCGCACTAAACCGCTGTTTCCATCGGACCTTCGCCGTACTGGCTGCGCGGCTTTGCGGATCGCAAACTGCAAACTCTTCCGACTGCAGCTCCAACAAGGATTGTTCCGCATTCGCGTTCCTTCTCCGTGATCCCGATGCTGACAGTGGAGGAGACTGGAAGAACTCTGCGCAGTCCACCATAATATAGCTCTATATAAAGGAAAAGCTGAGAAATTACAGCTGAAACTTACACTGTATGCTGTGCTTTGGTATGGTAACTGTTTTTGTTTTAAATGCTTAAAAAGCTTGAGTCTCAGTTCTTGTTTCGGGAACAAATAACTTAAGTATACATTAAAAAGAAGAGAGGGGGGGAAAATAAAAGGGGGGATCAAGGAAACACCTTCAGTTGTAAACATTTGGAATTTAAACCATGTTATTGAAGGAGGTTTCTTTGTCTGAAACCGGTGAGAATTGGTATTCTTTCAGCGAAGTTTATTGAGAAGCAAAAAAGAATTAAGATGCATTTCCCCTGAGGGGAACTGATAAGAATACACGTGCTATCTGGGACTGGATAGCTCTAATCCACAGAAGCTATACGATAACCAACCTCCCTGGTATACTGCAGAGACTGTTGTTTGACCGCAATGCCGTAGGAGATGTTGGTTGTTGCACCTTTTATTTCTAGTCCTTCCTCAAAAGTTAAGGTCTGTGCCTAAAAATGGTGGAGGTGTATAGATATGAATTTTCATTCATTTGCAATGTTTTCATTCCTACAAATGTTTTTAATATATTTAAAATGGACTAATCTGAAATGGATACAGTATACTGCAGAGAAGTAAACTGTTTTTTCTACGCTGTCGTTTGAATAGCCTGATGAGCTGGTGCCCAGATGGGTGGTGTGCGTTTCTGCGTGGGCTTGGGTGGCTGTTTCCTTGAAGTAAGAAGGGAAATGGTGTTTGGAACAGCTAATGATGTTTGCTGCTTTTGGTAAAAGACAACAAAACTTGACAAAGTAAAGAAAATAGGTTGTGTTCCTTTTTACTTCAGATCACTTGCTAACAAAGAATGGTTTTTAAAGCTGAGGATTATGGAAAGGTGAATTTTATCTCTGTTAGAACAAAGGTGATACATGACAAGGATATATTTGTTTTGCAGAAGACGTGATGTTTGGACTAAGAGTTAAGGAAAATTTGTACAGCGACTTTAAATTGGGATCAAAAGCTGGTTTACTAATGATTTCCGTGCTAAGGTACAGTCTTGTTTACTGCTGTCCGACTTTGAAAGCTGGGTTTTATGGTGTGGTTATATTGAAGAATTAAATATCTTGCATTTTATTTCTTACTAAGTCTTGTTCACATCAGTAGCGATATTTGACTCTTGTTCATAGTCAAGATCAGCTGGTAGAACACTTTTACCTCAATTTTGGATTTCATTATTGTTGTGATGGGTGGGATGTAACCTGTATTTATTTAAAAGGAATCAATTGAGAGAGATGGAAATAGAAATAAGACCTCCTACCCTTCAGAAAAAGAGACTTTGTATAACCAGTATTATAACTACGTACAAGAGTTTCCACTCTGCAACTTTGTGGACCTCAGAGAAGGCAATCTCTGCCCTCAGTTTTGTCAGTGTAAACCTTCGTCATCCTTATTGGATCTTCTTAGATATGCTGAAATACAAACCCAAACTAGTACCAAATAGTTATATTTCACTAAATATTCCTTGAAGAGACATTCTGAAACTTACTTCTGCTCAGTCCTTCCATAGCACTGATATTTGGTTGGAATGAGTCTGATTCTGAGCAAAGGGGTGAGGAGAAAAAACAAAAAGAGGGCAGCAGCCAACCCATTGACCATTATTTATTTTTTTATTTTTTACAATGCTGAAGTGCTGCAAAACTTGAACTATATACATCAATTTTCTGACCTATATTAGTTGCCATATTAAAAAGTTTATATATTTATGAATTGCAGTAAACTTGGTGTGTGTATATATATATATATATGTCTTTAGATTTTAAATTTATATATAATGCTTTACTACAGAAATGTGAACCACTATTTCCATCCTTGGCTGTCTTGTAAAATAAATCAAATGCTGTTAGTTTATCTGTAAAACTTCCCTTTTTTGAAAGTCTTACATTGTTCAATTTCTTTTCCTTAGACAAAGTGCCAAGATCCCATATGCAAAAGTGATGAATGTTCCTAAGTATTTATTTCACTTTTGAGCTCAGTTTTCTAAATAGCTTAGAAAACTTTTGAAAATGTTATTCAGAATATCGCAGGCTGCTATCTTTGAGTCCCTGTAGCTTCCCAGTACACTTGAGGGCATTCAGCATCCAGAAAATCTAAGTAATAAATGCACATAATAAATCCAAATCATATATATTCTAGCAGTGTTTTGCAGTTAAAGTTATTGAACCAAATGTTTACATTTAAAAGTAGGATTAACAGTAGGTGTTCTTACTTTTTTTATAACATAAACAAAACAAACAAATCTGCTGGTAATTGGAGTGTGTTGCGAGTGCACTCGGTGAGATTTGAGCAAGAAGTTTAAGCCTCTTCACCTGAAACAGTTCCAGACTTAATGTCTCAGCACACGTGTGCTCCCGTCACTTTCTGTGTGGTCAGTGGCCAAGGACCAAGTCTCTAGAGCCGTTGTCTCCTGGAGTTTTGAGTGCATGCTCGAGCTGAAGATTTAAGCACTCCTGAGATCTCAAAACTGGCTTCCTTGGCCTTGCTCCAAGGGGATGGGGATCTCTCCCCATCTGCATTGTCTGTGGGGCCGATCCAGGAGATGTTCTAGCCTCTGTGTGTGTGTAGGAGGGAAGGGATGCATCTTTCGGGGTCTGACTTGTGTCTGTCTGTCTGTCCAGTTCTGATCTACAAGCCTGGTGACAAGTGCATCTCTTGAGATGTGCAATACCCAGGTTTGATGCCTCTCAGTTTTGAGCAAAGCTTTGAAGCCAAGGTGGTGATTGTACAGGTGGTGGTGTATGAGAGAGAGATAGCCAACCTCTGACTTGTCTTGGGAGAGAGATGGTCCACTTCAGTAGAGCAGGTAGGCTTTGAAACCAGAGGTGCTGAGTGGAGGAAGGTCACCAGTCTCCTGAGCGTGTTGAACATGCGAACGGCTACAGGTTGAACTGGGCTCACGGGTACGTGCCACCACCTCAGCTGTCCCTGCTCTGCTGGCGGCTGTGTACCCCTGCATGTGATGGCTGAGCTACATGGGAAGCAACTGGGAATTTTCACAGTTTGCAATCCGGGGTCTTAGGTGGTTTGGCAGTTTAGAAATTCAAGTTGTCCTTGCTTGGCACAGTAGCCTTAATTCCTTCCAGCCCATGAATTGGCACTTGGGTTCAGCCAGTTCCCCCACAGGTGACTTTTGGAATGATTTTTGTAGCCAGCTGTCTGTGCAGTCTGCTGGCTTGCCAGCATCAGGTTTTTAGGCACCTTCCTGACTGATTTACCACACCAGGTGCCTCGCTGGGGTTGTGAGTTCATCACAGCATTGAAATGCTGATGTTTTGAGACCAATGTCTGTATCGCTGAAGAGTGCCACCAACTTGGTGCCCACCACACCTCAGATCAGGGCTGGGTCCCTGGGTGCAGGTCTCAGGTGGTTCCACGTTGAGTCAAGCTCAGCACAATCCCAAAGGAGGACTGGCTGGGTCACGTTTCTGACTCGAGTGACTTGGGTTGGGCCTCTGTTCTTTCCTTTTCTTTCCTTTCCTCTGCTGTAGAACTAGACAAACTCCGCCTTTGAAATCAGAAAATCACCAAACCAGGGGTAGGGGTTGTGGAAGGTGGGAACAGCAACGGCTCTTTTCTTCCTTCTCTCCACCTCTTAACACAATTCCCCTCAAAAGTGTTTCCTCTTATTTTTTCCTTTGTGCCACAGGTTATTTTTGGAAAAACTCTGGAATTGCTAATTTAAGGGTAAAATCAACAGTTTGAATGTACAAGTGAGGAAAAAAGAGATAATACCATAAGCACACAACAGCGGCCTCTGTGCTTGTTTTATGCATCTAGTCTTGGGGCTGCTCTGCACAGCAGAAGGAGTGGTTACAGAAACAAAGGTGTGAAGTGCTGTTGCTGCCATAAAATAAATCTCTTGGGTTTCTTAGGGAGGCGCACGCCTGGCCTGGTCTCTGTTCCTTACCTGGCCTTGTGAGATGCTCGTGTTCCTAAAGAGTCAGTGTTGGATTCCAAATTCTCATCCTTTCTGTTTTTATAACCTGAAGAAGAGGCATGTGAAGAGTATTCTGTTTTGTTATACCACACCAAGGTCTGCCTGTCCTCAAATGTTTTACCAGCCATTCCTTAAGTTTTATTTATTCTGAAAATGCTGTATCAACTCAGCTGTTCTTAGTCAAGTGACTTGCCGTAGCTTTGAGGGTACCTCATCTTTAAATTGAAGGCAAATTAATTTGAGATTGCACAAAAGGATAGCAGTGAAACTGAAAACAAAGGTGAATTTACAAAATCAGCTCAGTAATAACCGTGGGCAGGCTGTGCCCCTTCTTCTTCTGGCTGCACAAAACTTGCCCATCGCACAGCCTGCCTTGTGGAGCAGGGTTCTTGCTGAAAACAGGAGGTTTTTCATCAGAGCTATGGAAGCACCTGGCTGATTTATAAACTCCCAGAAAACACCAGGCAGCTTAATTGCCTTTTTGCAATATTTCTTGTGCCTACGTGACTTGGTAAATGCACAAGTACAAAAGTGAGGGATTTTGAGAGTGGTTTTCCCTGGTTTAGCTGCAGTTTCTCTGGTTGGTTCCATAAGTGCTGTGGCCGTACAGCCTGCATGGGTTTTGGTAACGCGCATGTGCCATGCAAAGTGCAGGATGCAATAACAAATGCAAGTTTTTACAAGTGCCAAACTTTTGGTTTCCTCTGTATGTAACAATAATTCAACTAGAGATGCTTAAAATTCACTGTGTTCCAAAAAAGAGCAGTGGTTTGTTTGTTTTTTTTTGTTTTTTTTAATGAATGCTATTTAACACACTGTAAATCTGTACTTTTTTTTTAATCCCATTCTGCAGGTTTGTGTCACTCTTCACAGCTGCCTTGAGCCATCACTCCATGTGATGCATATGGACACTTTGTGCTTTATTAGAGTACTGGTGCCATGCACGTATATAATCA